ACTGCACCATCCCTTTCAGCAGCTCCTGTTCTTGTGGTTCAAAATATCTGCTAGAACCCCAGTCTCCCATCCACATTCCAGGTGGCAGATGCAAAAATGGAAGTGGAAGATAAAAGGATATACAACCTTATCTTTGAAAGTAAGCATCTCACAGAAGCATTACTTAACAATGTAACCTTTCCATTTATGTTACCAATTCATGGACATTGAATAGTGACAAAGGATGGTGGGGATTGAAACAGGAAAGCCATGTGCCTAGACAGCTGTTATCATTTTTAATTAAAAAACAAGGAGAAAATATATGTATAGAGTATAACCTGAAGTGTGGTGTAATGATTTTTGGGACAAATAAAATTTTAAGATCCTAATATTTGTGTTTCCTGGGTCTAGCTTGATGAGCCTGGCAGGTACTTCATTTTATCCACTGTCTTGGACTAAGATGGGTCTGAAATAGCCTTTTACTTCTTCCCCGATATGGCAAACTTCAACTCATCCTGAAATATTTAAATAAAATGATTCCTACCTCAGAAAGCTTTCCTTTATGACTAGGTTCCATTCTAGTAAGAATGACCTGTTCCTCCCTCTCTATTTCTATACAATATTTTGTGTGTGGTGAAGTAGAATGTGATGCCAAAAATGTCTACAAGTAACTGCTCAAGCTGAGGTCTGAGTGCTTATAGTTTGTCAGCTCCTCATAGTCCTTACATAAGATACCTTGTGAAGTAAGATTCCTGACTCTGCTTAGTCAAAATGTAGGAATAACAGTAGGTTTGATGTTCTCAATCACAAGGTATCTCCCACTGCAAGCTAAGAATCTCAAACCAGGCTAAAGCATATATATATGTATAAATATATACATATATACATATATACATATATATATATATATATATATATATATATATATATATTTGTGTGTGTGTGTGTAAATCTGATGTCAGGATTCAGTTTGTTACTATTTTTCTCATTGGTCCATTTGATTCAAAAGATTCTCTAAACTCATTGTACTAGAAATGTGTTTACTTATCTTCCACCTCAAAGGCTTCTTTTTACTTTTCTCAACTCTGTTTTCTTTTCAGACATCTAGAATATTTGCATATTTCACCCTTAAAAACTAAGGACCTAATTTGGATCCATTGCTTCCTTACACATGCAACATCTAAAAACCTGAATCAGGCGGTTTGGTTAGTGAAACTGATTACAATTTTCCTTTTGCTGAAAGAAAAAAGTGAAAGTGTCAGTTGCTCAGTTGTGTCCGACTCTTTGAGATTCTATGGACTGTAGCCCATCAGACTCCCCTGTCCACGGAATTCTCCAGGCAAGAATACTGGAGTGGGTTGCCATTTCCTTCTCCAGAGGATCTTCCTGACCCAGGGATCGAACCAAGGTTGCCTTCATTGCAAATGGATTCTTTACCATCTGAGCCACCAGGGAAGGCCATTTTGTTGGAAAATATATAAACTGTACAATCTTAGACAAATGAGGACAGTTGGAAACCTTAGGAATAATGGAGAACCTAGAATACTATAATTTTAGAGTAAATACTGTGGTTACACTTCCACTGGGCAGGATTTGGGAATAAGTTGCAGCAGGAGACCCTAATAGCCACAGCAGAGTTAGTATTAAAAAACAAAAACAAAAACAAAAAAACTCTGAAAAATAGAAGCAACAAAATATTATAAAGGCATTCTGTGACACAGGCATGAACTGTCTGCAACTGTAATAGCTCCCCAGACTAGGTTTCTATAAGCTTGATAAAACACGGTGAGGATTTTTGCCTCTGTTTTTATTTTTTTTCTGCTTTCTTTTTGTGCAAAGGCAGGGGTTCAGATTATACTAAGCAGCCAGTCTTCAACATTGCCAGAACCAAGAAACAAGTTGAACAGTGCAGCTATAACTTTAGAACCAAAGGAACGCCTTTATGTTTGTATTACAGTAATGGTGGGGGAAAAGACAGGGATCATCATTTCCATTGCACCAAATGATATAAAAATATATACATTTATACATATATAATATACCTATACTGATCTATCTGTTAGTGCTTACTAATTATTTATGATAAAAATTTGTGAGCAAATCTGATATAATTTTTAAAGAGGGGCTTCTTTATGATAATAATTCATTTTACTTATCATCAGCTATTTATTTCTATGCTATTAATGTCTCCCACAAACACTGAAACCCACTCTGAAAATCTAGCATCATAGAATGAAAAAACTGTGGTGTTTAAAATAATGATTTAAAGGAGGGAATCTGGTGCCAATATGTATGTTCTTATAATTATCCCAGAAAAGTTCCTAAGGGTTCTAAACTGCCTGAAGTTTCATTAATCTGGGCTAGGCTAAATTAAACATAAGATAGTTCAGCTGTGTTTGTTTTTAATTTGCAAAGGAATTTAGTGTTCCCAAAAGTGAGGAACTAGCAAACCAAGCTTCAATCAATCAGGAATATTTTGGGCATCTCTGCCAGTAGCATTAATGGGAAAGACCTGCTGTTATAACCCACAGCGTCTTTGGCAGGTCCTGAAATAAGAAAAAGAAAAATTTAAAAGAGAATATGAAGTCTAAAAAGCTGGCCAAAGGAATCAGTTGGTAAAACTAGGATATGAAAGATTTAACTAAGTTGAGAGGGTTCCAGAGTTGAGGGAGACTTATATCAGAGAGTGAGAAGGTTTCAGTGAAATACAATTTTATAATTAACCTATAATTGAATTTATTTCATATAGATACATAATTAAAAATTTCAAGTCATTCTGTAAAACCTTGTAAAAATAAATGTCCATTCTCCCTGACCTCTGTCATGTTACCCATCAACAGATTTTAACTTGTTTTGTGTTTTCTTCTGTTATTTAGTGTTCTATTTCCAAATATTAATATTAAACTTTTACTTCCTTCTTAGCTCTTAAGTGTTAGACATTAGCCAACTATAGGCTTTTTTGGAAACTAATGATTTTCTTCACCACTTGCCCCACTCTTTGGGAGAACTACAGCTAGGGATTTAGTTAAATACTATGATTTTGTAAATGGAATGCACTTCTGAACCAAGTAATACAATATGTTTTATTTTCTTATGCATGTTATTGTTTTTCTGCCAAATAATATTTGCATTCAAAAAATCATTTAATTTTTATTTACAGTGAATCATCCATAATGCTCAGACTCATGGGTTATACCTATCTCAACATTTTCCAAATGGTCCAATACATGAAATAATTCTTCAGTTCTATTTATCTTTCTAACAATATGTTTTTCTATGGACATCTGATGCACTCACAAAATTACAGTGGTTTCTAGGCCTGCTGCACAGCTGTTATCCTGAGACTTCTTTTACTACTGTCCTTCGTTGGTGCTCTTCATTCTGGTTTTCCAAAATCTTCTTTCATTTATATTCTTGTGTTGAGGTAGCATGTCTTCAAGGAGGGCTTTCCAGGTGGCACTAGTGGCATAGCCCCTGCAAGGTTTGATCCTTGGGTTGAGAAGATCTCCAGGAGGAGGGCATGACAACCCGCTCCAGTATTCTTGCCTAGAGAATTCCACGGGCAGAGGAACCTGACTGGTTATAGTCCGTGAGGTTGCAAAGAGTCAGATATGACTGAAGGGACTTAGCACACACACACACAGGTATGTCTTCCTGGAATATCCTAAATAAGAATGTGTGGATGTTTAGCTAAACAAAACAATAAAAATGCTACAATTCTGAAGTTCTAAAAACACTTTCATTCTACCCACATACTTAAATGTTAGCTTGGCTTCTAAAATTAATTCAGTTCAGTCGCTCAGTCGTGTCTGACTCTTTGCGACCCCATGAATTTCAGCAAGCCAGGCTTCCCTGTCCATCATTAACTCCCAGAGCTCACTCAACTCCCGGAGCTTACTCAAATTCATGTCCATTGAGTGGGTGATGTCCACTGAGTTGGCTTCTAAAATACTCTGTTAAAAATAATTTTCCTCAAATTTATGAAAGCATTGCTTTATCTTTTTTTCTACTGTGTTTACAAAATCCGATGCCATTCCAGTTCCTGATACTTTATATGTAAACTCTTCCCATCCCACCACAAAATCTCTTATGATAATTGTAATGATAATTGATTCTGATTACTTACTCTAAGATAGTACTTCATGAACTTTGTGTGCCTTTTAATAATAATTTAATCCTCACAATGGCCTGAGGTGATACATATTATCAATATCAATCACACTTTACTGATGAGGAAATTGAGCACTAAAATACCAAGTGAATTGCCCAAACTCATGCATCTGACAGATGGGGGGATGGTGATTTCAAGCCGTCTGGTACTAGACACCATATGCATAAGCACTCTACCTTTCTTTTTCATGTGTTCTGAAATGAGTACTTGGACTTTCAGTTTGAAGAAAACCTTCAGTTACAGGAAACAGTTGTATGATTGGTTTTCTCTGGTTTCTTTTTCCTATTCATTGGATTTTGAATACTCTCAATTAAATCTCTAATTTAAATATCTTATTTAACATTAAACATTAAATACAAGTTTTATACTGCTTTTCAGGAAATTCAGTGAATGATCCAACATTTCCATTTTCATTATTGTTAGTAGTAGTAGTACTTAATCTCAGTGATCCTGTTTTTAATATGCAAGAGTCATTTCCTGTTTCCTGGTTACTCCTTTTACTTAAAAGCACCTTGTTTCATTGATGGACTATCTTCCTCTTTCTTTTAGGATACAAAGTAGACATTTATGTTTCCTGCTCCCTACTTTGTTTCTGTATCCCCAGAGCTAATTTTTCCTATTATGTGCTTTGGTCTTTCATTTTTAGGCTGAAATCTTTCCTCAGATGATCAGAGCTTGTTGACTGTTACCATGAGCGACCCAAGAGGGGAATTTACAGTGTTGCTATTTGGAGTAATTGAGTTTTTCAAGGTAAGAATTTTTCAGTCTCCTGCTTGGGGTTCTAAACCTTGAAGAGAGTGTTCTGGTAGTTAGGGTAAAGGATAGACATTCTGAGGGTTCCACTGTTCAATACTAGACCTTTCTATATTCTACCTTCAGCCTCATACCCCAACCCTCTACTGAGCCTGGAGTCCTTGAGACTGAAGTCTGTCAGTGTTGTTATTTCCAGAAACATCACACTGTTTCAATAGGGGTATGTTTTGAGGGGTGAGGGAGAAGTGAGTATTAGTCACCTGACTGTATCCACGTTTTTGACTGGTTTCTCTGTTTTGAGCTTCATACCTATTTCCTGTTGTACTGGGATTCTAGTCACAGACTATTTCTTGCTGGTAACCTCCTCTATAGAAAATTAGACTGTAGCTTCAGTGGCTACCCACTCCAGTATCCTTGCCTAGGAAGTCCCATGGACAGAAGAGCCTGGTGGGCTACATTTGTGGGGTCACAAAGAATCAGACACAACTGAGTGACTATCATTTTCACTTTCACACTTCCTCCTCTATGCCGCTGCTGCTGCTAAGTCGCTTCAGTGATGTCCGATTCTGTGTGACCCCATGGACAGCAGCCCCGCAGGCTCCTCTGGCCATGGGATTATCCAGGCAAGAATACTGGAGTGGGATGCAATGTCCTTCTCTTTCCTCCTCTATAGTAAGGCATTTTCCTAACCCATGAAGACTTTTTTTTTTTTTTTTTGGACTCCTTTATCCATTTTTATTTCTCTTTTCTCTCTCCTTTTTTAAAACTTCTATTTTATACTGGAGTATAGTTGATTAACAATGTTGTGTTAGTTTCCGATGTACCATAGTGATTCAGTTATACATATATATGAATCTATTCTTTTTCAAATTACTTTCCCATTTAGGTTTTTAAGCAATTCTGAGCAGAGTGCCTTGTGCAATACAGTGAGTCCTTGTTGGTTATCCATTTAAAATATAGCAGTGTGTACATGTCCCTATTCTCTTTCATTTCTTTTATGAATTGATTTGTTTACCAATTTAATATTATCTTTCCTCTTAGTTTAGTGGAATTTTAGGGGAGAGTGGAGATAAATGTTAAAAAATCAACGTATGTTTTCAAAGTTTGTATATTTTTAATGCTGATGTGTATACTTCGTGCAGGTAAAATGACTAAGTGTGTAACAAAGTATATAAAAGACATGCAATTAGAATCTTGGGCTCATATTGCTAGGTAATAGATGATTAAAATAGTAAAACCCTCCACTATTTTTTCTTCTTTTTGTAAATAGTTGATAAAGATATCATAGGGGCATGGATTGGGACCTTTCTTCTGGGGACAATGACTGATGTAATCTGACATATATCAAGATGTATTGGAGCAAAGGAAGAGAAATGGGCCACCAAGGAGGACAAATTGTAAGAAAATAAGATGATGTCTTATCAGAATGGATGAAGTGAGTGGAGAGGAGTGCAAAATAGAATGAGAATCTGATGCCAATGGATACTAATATAAAATTCCATGACTTGAGCAATCACTGTTAGGAAAAAGCTTAACATATTTATTAAATTCATACTGACCATTACTGATACCATGTTATTAGCAAGTTCTCCCAAGCATTTCTCTTTTGTCTCTTATTAATACTTGTCCCCAGATTTCTCTGAGTTCTCCTCTTTTCCCCCAAGGCATGAATATCCAATTCGAGAGTGAAAGAGTTGGTCAAGATAAGAAGAAAACATGGTCAAGATGCTCAACCTTCTTTACTGCCTGACTCTCATATCCATACATAATTACTGGAAAAACTATAGCTTTGACTATACGGTCCTTTGTTGGCAAAGAGATGTCTCTGCTTTTTAATACACTGTCTAGGTTTGTCATAGCTTTTCTTCCAAGGAGCAAGGTGTTTGTTTTTTTTTTTTTTTTTTTAATTTCATGGCTGCAGTACCCATCCTCAGTGATTTCAGAGCCCAAGAAAATGAAATCTTTTACTCTTTTCCATTGTTTTCCCATCTATAGGCCATGAAGTGATGGGACCAGATCTTTGTTTTAAGCCAGCTTTTTCACGCTTCTCTTTCACCTTCATCAAGAGGCTCTTTAGTTCCTCTTCACTTTCTGCAATAAGGATGGTGTCATCTGCATATCTGAGGTTATTGATATTTCTCCTGGCAATCTTGATTCCAGCTTGTGCTTCATCCGGCCTAGCATTTTGCATGAGGTACTCTGCATATAAGTTAAATAAACACGGTGACAACAGACAGCCTTGACATACTCCTTTCCCAATTTTGAACCAGTCTATTCCACATTTGGTTCTAAATGCTGCTTCTTAACTTGCATACAGGTTTCTCAGGAGGCAGGTAAGTTGGTCTGGTAGTGCCATCTCTTTAAGAATTTTCCACAGTTTGTTGTGATCCACACAGTCAAAGGCTAGTGTAGTCAATGAAGCAGTTTTGCTTTTTTTTCTTCCTGAAATTCTCTTGCTTTTTCTATGATCCAGTGGATGTTGTCAATTTGACCTCTGGTTTCTCTGCCTTTTCTAAATCCAGCTTCAACATCTGGAAGTTCTCAGTTCACATACTGTTGAAGCCTAGCTTGGAGGATTTTGAGCATGACCTTCAGCATGTGAAATGAGTGCAATTGTGTGCGTGATTACAAAGAAATTTATTGCAGTGTTAGGCATCAAACTCTGCTCTTTCAAACTTTAAGTTCCTTTATTACTATGTACCTTGACCCTTTTCATAAATATTACCAGTGAAAATTCATTTTGATTTTTAATATTTACCAATTTTCTTAGTTAAAACACAATGTACATTCATTTGTGGGACTTTAATTTGGCCTTTCTAAATGAGACTGCTATTAAAAAACTTGTCAATACAAAACAAAACAATGACGTTCCCTTGTGTGATATGCCTTATTGGGTGCACATTAACATTTCTGATTTTCTATGCATATTTTCTCCTTATTAAAAAATGTATGCACAGCTAATGTTTACTCAAGAGATGAATTATTTTACAAGTGAAAAATTATCATTTGTTATATTCAGTCACATTTCAACCTTACCAGCACCAAATTGGAGTCTTGCTAGAAACTTTTTTGCAACAATGTTTTTTAAAGCTCTCCAGCCAGCTTTAGTGATTGTAAAATATTTAGGTATTTTTTAAATGTTGGAGACCAAATAGAATAATGCATGAAAGCAATAAATAAATAAGCAGACAAATCACATCTAAAGACCAACAGATAGTGGGGCTTTTACAAAAGGATCGACCACAGAGGTTTTAAAATCCGTTTGATGGTTTTTATTTGTGGTGGAGAGATTCTTAAACAGATGAACCTCTGCCCTCGGAAGAGTACAGAGGAAGCAGTGATGAAGCGTATTGCAAACCAGCGAGACAAGGTGACCACAATTATAAATATTGAGCTTTCTGGAAGGAACATATAGTGAAATTACTCAATTTGGCCATGGCCCAAAACCCAACTTATCTGTGGGCATGCCTTCCCCCAAGGGAAATCGTGTTCTTTAACAATCACATATTTTCTGCTCATCACTGTCTGCAACCTGAAGAGACTCCTGAAAGGATGGCTGGAAGAAGCACTCTTTAAGGGATTCTATGAAACCACTTATCAGGATGGGTTGGGTCACATTGACACAGTGCTCTTTGACTGAAGATATGTCCAACTGTTGAAGGGTTTACAAGAAGGTGCCCTTTAAAGTCTGAGTTTCTTTCTCACTCTCTTGCCTTCTCTTGTGGCAATGCTTTTTGTGTTTTTCAAAAATATCCACATTGACATTTATATGGATATCTGTGAGTTTTTCTCAAGTAAGTGGTTTTCTTCACTTTAGTCATTTTTATTTTTTTTTACATTCTCTAATATGTCACATTTTTGATGCACAATTTTCATTGATTACTAATTCATTTGGCAAACATGCTACCTTAGCCTTCACATTAATATGTTCATTTAAAATGACATAGAAGTAAGGGCATTTAGACCTACAGAGAATTAATTAGCATGTAATTCTCAGTATATCATCTAGTGTTAATTAGCAGTTAAACCATCTTCTTGTGCATGACCTGCTGATTTCAATAGTGTTCTATTTTGGAGGCTCTAGGGGAACAAAACTTGTACTTGGTCATCTTTTTTTGAAAATGAAATATGGAATCACAGTTTCAATTCTCCTGTGCTTTTTTTAACTGTTATATATTTTCTTCATTTTGTTCCTTTCTTAAATCTAAGTATGAAGTATTTTGTCTTCTCTTTCTAATAATAACACAGGAGTCAGACCATTACTAGTTGTTAAGAGGGAAATAAATATTCACATTTAAGCCATTTTAAAAGTTAGAACTTTTTCCAATTTTTCTTATTAACAATTCTTACAAGAATGTTGAATATGGTTGCTAGATAAATTTTTGTTTGAGATAATTTTACTGTTTTCTGTTTTCTCATGTTTTTACACTTATATGTTTTAGGGGCATACAGATTTTTGAAGCAAAGAAATTTATAGAGAAATCAACAAGTTGTCAATGTCAAATAAACTCTGAATTTAAAAAAAATTATTGTTAATGTGAGCAGTGTGTAACTGAGAAGTTTGTTTATGTACAGAGAGAAATAAAATAACCCATTTGAACTATTGCTATAGAATGAAAAAATTTTGGCACATTGATATTTATTCATTATAACAGATAACCACAGTGTAAGAGTGGTTGACCTACTCAAGTCATTCAAATTTATCTTTGAATGGCATAATTAACTATGTATATATCTAAAAATGTCAGAAATTAAGAATTCTTTAAAAAACTGAAAAAATGGCATTTCTGTCTCTTTGAAAAGTGCTAGCATGCCACCCAGACCTGCTGCCTCAGCATTCATGGGGTATTTTGTCCTCACTAATCTTCCTCCCTTGAATTGAGACATGGTCTTCCCAATACTGGAGCCAAATCCTGGTGTCTGCATCTGTCTCTTCGATGACTATAACTGTGGTTCACAAATTTTTTAGGCTGATGATAAGATCAAGGATGCCAAAATACATTATTAAAAAAAAAAAACTTCTATGACTTTTGGATATATAATCTTATTGAGAAGGCCTTCACTATAAAATTATCCTCTTCACCCAAAAGAATAACTTAGTGTTTGGACACTCCACAAAGCATTTTTGCACATATTATCTCATTTGATCCTCACAGAAACTCAGAGCAGGTATAATTACAGTCATTTTACAAACAAAGAGAGAGTCTCCGAGAAATTCAATGATTTCCCAAGGTAGTAAATCTAGATAGATGGTGGTGAAATCAAGAACAACACTTAGGGTTTCGATTTCTAGAACCAATTCTCTTCCCACTTTATTACTCTTCAGGATGTAGACCTCAAACTCTGTTTTTTACTGACTTCCCTTGGGCTGGAGGACTTAGGAAATAATAAGACAATAGAGGGGGGAGGAAATGAAGAGAAGAAAGAAAGCTGATCTGGAATGAATTTAATATAAAGTTTCCAATCACATGACATTTCTACAACCCTGGGAGCAGGAGGGGTTTTGTTCCTTTCAAGACTATTTCTCATGTTACTTCTATTCTTTTTTCCTCTTGGCCTCTCCACTGTGAAGCATGTGTATTTTATCTTCATTCCTGGCCAGGGGTCCAGGGATTGAACCCATACCCCCTGAAGTGGAAGCATGGAGTCTTAAACATCGGAGCACCACAGAATTCTCATCTCATATTACTTCTTAATGGAACTTTTAAAAAGAGCAAAATGTTTTTATCTTCATTTTAGAACTTGAATAGAAATGGTTTCTGACTCATCTGAGACTTAATATCCTCAACCACTAAACATTTGAAAGCTGATTTCCTATGATGCATATTTAGATTAACAAATGTTTAACGTAAGGATATGGAAAATATGAAAAGTGTGATATTTTTATAAGCAGTCCCATCACTTTGAATCAATTAGAAAGGTGAGTTAAATGTAATGCAAATTCATTACACATCAAACTTCATATTTTTAGAGCTCTCTTATAGGGACAGGATAAATGCTCAGAGCACTGGCTCTGTACTCAAATGACATAAGTTCAAATCCTTGTTCTGTCAGTTACTAGATTCTTGACTTCCAGCAATATGACTGATGTCTCTGTGTCTTCATCTGTTTTAAAAATTAAGTGAGGCAGCGTGCTTATAATCAAGCAAAAAACACTGGCTATTACCCTTACCATCGAATATTGAAAGAAAATAAAGTGCCTGGCATCTTATGTCATCTCATAATAGTGGTTTTCTAGAAAAGGCACTCTGTTCTTTATTCTTTTATTAGTTAACTTTGTGTCACCATGGTTTTCATATTTCCATATGACTCTTAGATGATTTTTACCATATTAGTTTAAATGTATATATACTTACATTTTTGTCTTTATATATAACATGGGTAAAGCCACATTTCTGTAATATTTTCCAAAGTCTTCTAAAGTAAGGAAACCATGGAATTTCATCAATTTGCCAGTTATTTGGCTATAAAATACCAAGTAATTGATTTTATTTTTTGAATTGTGCTTCATAAATATAACTATATTTTTTTCTTTTTACCTTATAATTGAGTTGACTGGTTGATGTTTGCATTTTATTCAAACATCCCAAGTTGGACATTTTTGGAAATTATTTATTGTCCAACCTCTTGAAGTACCATTAACATATTTTTTTCTAACAGTGCTTTGAAAATATTCATGCAGCTTTCAAAAATTCTTAATTTATTTCCAGATAGGATATCATATATTGGAAAGATCTGACTCAGCATGAAATATTTACAGTAAAAATTATTTTATCCTAATAAGTGCACTTAAAAATGTGTTTGTACAGAAAATTTCTTCCCTTCTTCCAGCTTTATTTCTACTATAGCTTTTTTATTCAGCCTCTCACCTTGAACACTGGGAGTTTTATGAAGAATTGTGATATACTAGAAATAGCTATCTGGCTGTCAAAGTTATCACTTCAACTTCAGAAGCTAAACCCAAATTTCACAGAGGTGGTCCTCTCATATCCCTTTTCCCTTCCTTCCCCTTAAGGAAATTATTCTAAAAGTGTTTGGTAACTATTTCCTCCTCACAGCTCAGTCATCCTGCTTTAGTCCTTGGAGAAGAGGACATGTTATTGAACATATGATTACAAAATCTTAACACAGAAGCTGAAAGAATTCAATCTGATTCATAGTTTCCAAATTAAATATTGCACATATATAGAGGAAACTAAGAGATAGTAACTATTATCTCTGTCTTCCTCTTGTGTCTATTGTCTTTGAATTATTTCAGCCAAATTTTCATTCCTTTCAAGTCCAAAGTTCTAGTAAGATCTATTTCTTGCATGTTAGTAGCATAATAGGATTTAATGAAGTGGCCTACAAGTCTATAGGAGTCATAAATTTAAACTGGTTGGCTTCTTTATTAAGTCATGGTAGGGAGAGTAGTGATAAGGAAGTAATTCTTAAAACATAAACTTTCCTCAGTGGTTTCTGAAATGAGTTGTTCTATAAAGTTGAAAACAATGTTTTACATTTCTTGCTGTATTGGGTGATAAGGCAAACTGTAGTATATTATTTGATATGGATAAGTTACAAGGGATCTTCCTCTTATTATAGATGCCTGAAGGAGGTGGTCTACAATTGTTGAGATAGCCTCAGGGCTTTCTCCTGAGATACATCAAAGAGTCTGCCAGGCTGTCTTTAGTGAAATAATAAGTATTTGGAGAAATCTATCTTTCTTTGATTTTATAATTCTGCATCTTTGGAGTTTTATTTAAAAGAGGCCTCTTTAAAATTATAGATGTGTTCTTTTTAAAATGATGGCATTTCTTTATCATTCATTTCTGTACATTTATTATTCTTTGCTTAAGCAATATGTGGCAGGAACTTTGTCAGGGACTGGGGGAAATAACTTGAAATGGAAAGAACCTGCTTTCAAAGTATTTACCTATGACTATTAAGTTGCAAGCAAGATATAGCTGGTGATCGCTTTCATTTTTCTGTTTCATGTCATACAATCATGTGATAACTTTTAGTTTCTTTTAGTCTTCAAGGAAATTAACACATTTATATTCTGGGAAGATACAATTCTCTTCATGGAATCCAAATTAGTATGTCTTAGCTTGTTTCCACCGGTTACTCTCTTTTCTTGGCAGCTCTGAGTTTTCATTGTCGAGCGTGGACTACCTCAAGCTGCAGCGAGCGGGGGCTGCTCTCTAGTTGGCTGTGCAGGGTTCTATTTGCATCGGCTTCTCTTGTGGAGCACAGGCTCTAAGGTGTATAGGCCTCAGTAGTTGGGACGCACAGGCCTAGCAGCCGTGCAGCAGGTGGGATCTTTCCCGACCACGGACCTGACCAGTGTCTTTTGCATTGTAAGGCAGATTCTAACCACTGAGCTAACAGGGAAGTCCTCCACCAGTTACTCTCATAATGAACAGTGCTACATACTCAAGTAAAATTTCAGTATATTTACTTGCTTTAAGTAGTATGCAAATAATCAAAATTCATTTGAAATCAGATAGGAATCTTCCTTATAATGTATCATAGACTATTTTATCTTCTCTGAAGGCTTGTGATCTAATGTGGTGTAAGAAATATAGACTTGGTATTTTAACCAGTGGGGGCTGCTATGCCTCTTTCTTATAATGTCCTAAGTTACCTAGGTAATGGGTTCTTTTTTGGTGTTTATCTTTTTTTAATTTGTTTTAATTAGTAAAGACTAATTACTTTATGATATTGTGGTGGTTTTGGCCATACATTGGTGTACATGTGTTCCCCTGTCCTGAGCCCCCCTCCCAAATCCCTCCCCATCCCATCCCTCTGGGTTGCCCCAGTGCACCAGCTTTGAATGCCCTGCTTCATGCATTGAACTTGGACTGGTCATCTATTTCACATATGGAAATATGCATGCTTCAGCTGAAAGACATCCTGGTAGACAATTAAAATCAAGCTATAATGGAAAAGTTTCTTCTCATCAAATTAGTGATATGCCTCTTCCTCTTACAGCATTGGAAAATAGAATAAAAAGAGTGCATGAAGTCTCATAATTTCAAAATATTATACAGTGAAATTTGAATTCATTGTTTTGAATCTGAAGATTACACAGCTCTTGGAAACCAAGTTGGCAGCTTCAGTTATGAAGCTTGACTTACCCCTGGCCTTGTGTGTTACACGTTTTGAAACTGAAGGTCAGGATTCTGAGGTTGCCCCTCCTTTTTCAGAAAAGCATAATGAGATCTTTCACTCCGCTACAGCAGCCCCTAGAGGCAAGCAGATGAGACCTCAGTTTAATGTCCCATCTGAAGGGCAGACAGGCAGAGCCATTACTAATACCCAGCAAGCTGAGAATTCTGCCTTGGTGGTGCAGTTAAAACCTCAGTGATGGGCAGCAGCAGTTTTTAATTTATAAGGATGAAAATGGATCGAGACTTTTTTTTTCTGGGAAGAAAATAAAGTCATAATGCATTTTTCAAGAGATGCTTAGTTGCACTTAAGTGTCCCTCAGGGCATTCCACTAATGAGGATCAGAGATTACAAGAAACAGATATAGATATGTAACAGTGTTGAATTAACATGTTTTTCCTTTCTTTAAAC